TAAATTTAGATGTGGGAACCACAATTTGCCCATTGTCACTGGTCGCTATCAAAATAAGGCCGTTCATGATAGAACTTGTACCTTATGCCAAAGTAACCACCTTGGTGATAAATTTCACTATATCTTTGAGTGTCTGGCCTTGAGTAAAGAACGGGAGAGATTTTTGAAATCATATCATAGAATTAGACTTAATAATTTAAAAATGTATCGGCTATTTAACACATCTAATGAATTGGAGTTGTTAAATCTTTCTAGATTCTGTAAAGATATAATGAAGTGGTTTTTAATTCAGCCAGGTCATTTCTGACCACCGATTCAGTGCCATGTATGTTTATTTATTTACTTGCTTTTTGTAATTTTGGGCTGGTGCCTTATTATGCATTTTTTCTAATTTATAAATTTATTTCGTGTGACGCTTCCATGTACATGCTTTTTTCGTTTGTATTATGTAATGTATATTATTTAGTTCTCTCATACCTCTATCGGAGGAAGCAAAGGAAATACATTATTATTATTATTATTATTATGGGAATAAAAGACAGTTTCATTGCCAATAGTCTAGGAAAGTTTATTAACATAATTTTACAATGTAATACCTAATAGTTGTTAGTGCTATCTGTTTTAACATTTTATTTTATTTTTAATATCTGTATTTCTTGTTATTATTTATTTATTTTGTGTATGATTATTGACTATGGTTAATGTATTTCCAATTCATTAATTAGACTACACTACACTACACTACACTACACTACACTACACTACATTTCATTTCACCCTATGTAACCAAACAAAGAGAACTTGTTAACATAGAAATCAATTATAAATGGCCCAAAACCAATTTCATGGCTGTTTGTTTTTGTGTATAAAGTAGTTTGCTGACCATACATTTTTATTATAAGAACATCAAATAAAACCATACATGTAGTATATAGAGGTCAAAGAAATCATTGTTTTAATGGTAGGTAACTACTTTAAATAGAATGATCATTACAAATAATGGCATGGTATTCAGACACACATACATGTAATGATATAGGTATTCAGACACACATACATGTATTGATATAGGTATTCAGACAC